CTAGTGCTCCCCTGAAGAGTAGTTGGAGGAAAGGGAAATCCTGATAAATAATTTTGTGTTTTGATGGCTTGTTTGATGCTGACTTGACAAGACTAGATTTCCTTTGGTAATCTGGTGCAAGCAGTATATAAATGAATACTGCTGAAGATGAAGTAATTTAATAGAATTTAAATTCTATTTAAAACTTATGACCGTGTTCCCTGTAAACACAGGGACTGTAAACCCTGTGTTCTCTGAACCTTGTAGTTCCTGTTGAAACATTTTCTTTAAACTTCAAGAAAATTCAACTGTTTTTATAATAGTCTCATTATGCTAGACTTGACAAATCTGTCTGAACTCAAATTTAGACAGTGCTCATCCTAGTCCCTCTAGGATTTTAACTGCAGTGTGCGGCTCTGTTGCTTTTGTGGTTGAGCACAGTGGACACATTCCCTTTGCCATGTGGCAGCTGAAGCTCTCCAGCAGGATGGAGCATCTTGCTGAGATGCCACTTAACCTGGACATTCCATTCAGCTATTGGAGAGGCCAACCTGGAGTAGCCTGTGTGACCGGGCTCTCCTATCTGGAGACCAGGAGCCTGCCCCAGGGCTTCTGGCTTCCTTCAGGAACAGTAGTCTGGAAGTAGTCTTAGATAAGATTGAAAATTTTTAGAAACCACAAGTGCAGCACCTAGTTCTAACAACATTAATACTTGAGTCCTGATGCAAACTGAGGTTATGTTCTTATATATAGCTTGGCCTTAATTAATAGCTTGCCAAAGCTCATGTGTTTCAGCAGTGAGTCAAAAGGTTGTTTCTTAGGGGTGGGGAAAGGGACTGGGAGGAATGAGTGTGTTGAGCAGTTAGGTAAGATCCAGAGTTGATGCAGGCCAGAGGTTTGTGTGGTGGGGATGAGAAGGCAGAGCTAGGGACAGGGTGCAAGGCCTCCTCTGACAGCAGTGAGCTTTTGTTGGAGTTCATCATCACAGGGACCTGCACCCTTAAATGACCTGACTGTTCTCTGGGAAAACAGAGGGAAGGCAGACACAGAGATCACCGTGCTCTTTAGACACTGAAGATGACTTCAGTCTGCAACTTGATAACATCTGAGGTGCTCTCTTATAGAGCTGAATGCTCTCTTTATCCATTTTAGAGCAGCTAATTCATGAATATCTGATTATTATTATTTTTTTTTTCAAATGGTCTTTTGCTTTTGAAAGCTCAGCTGTGTGCTGCTAACAGAAGGGGTGGGCCTTAAAGCAGGTGTCAGGATGAAAAGATAATCATTGTAGCAAGGAAAAAGCGTAATAGGAAGTACAGTTCTGCCTGTATTTCACCAAGCAGGGAAACATTTGCTATTCATTCCTTAAATAACTTGAAGCTTCTGTAGGAGTAAGAAGTATTAACCTTTAAAAACAGTTTGCAAGAGTTGATGTGAAATAGACTCTTTTTTCTATAAGATGATAGTAGAAAAATGGTTGTTCTTTAAAATAATGCTTTCTGGGAAAGCTTCTTGTGATCTAAATATAACTTCCCTTCTGTGGGAAAGGAGGGGGAAAAAGCCTTTGTCTTAAAACAGATGTGTGTGTGGGAAGGAGGAGGAGTCTGATCTGTTGTAGATTAATTGTCCAACCTGTATAGTGTACCACAAAAACTTCATAGCAGGGTGGATGGGTCCTTGCTGAGAGGTCTTATCTAGGCCCTGTCTTAGGGTAGAAGGAAAATCTTTTACACTGGGGTGTCTCTTGAGTTTTGTGATTCTATGCAGTCTCAAGTGAGTCTCTGGTGCTTCCCATCTAAGGTGTGTGGGTGTTTTAGAGCCTCTCTTGTTTGTGTCTCCTCACTGGACCTTCCAAAACTGCTCTGCTTCTCTGCTGAAATGGACTCTCCAATACTGACATCTGTGGACATGTCAAGTAGCTCTATAACAACCTGCTTTACACAATGGTCACTTCAAGAACTATGAAGGCTTTCTGTTGCATAACAGCTCCTCTTTCATCACAGAATAGGTACATAATACAAAATACAGAATTGTAGACACTTCTACATTCAAATGCCTAACAGTCATGCTTGTGCTAATACTGTGAGGTTAAGTAAATAAATCCCTCTTGGGAAAGTTGGATTGCTGCAGGGTGGAAAAAAAGCTTGAAGAGCCTTCAGCTGAGGGGAGACTGACTATACCCAGTTCTGACCTTTAGGTCTTGTACCTGAAGGGAAGGCAGCTACAGTAAGAGCATCTCTCCCATTTTCTCTTAGCTCTGAGAGTATGTGTAAGTTTTCAAGCTAGAAGTAGGAAAATGTGCACGAGGAGGCAAAGCACCTTAATTGCAGTCAGAAAAAATGACACTCAAAACATGTTTCTCCCCCCTCTCCTACAATTAAGAGATTCAGCTGGCAGTGAACAGTTCATATGGTGATTCAACCTGCCCTTTTTTACTATGGGGAGGGGAGAGCAGGCCCAAACCTAAAGGATGACTGTTAGTGCAAGTAGGCCATAGTTATGACAACAAGCAACTACGGCATTGGCACCTTCAATGAGAGGAGGTTTCTAGACCTTTTTTGTGAGGGAGGAAGGTGTTACTCCTGCTTAAGCTTCATCAATGCTGTTCACCTAAGGGATTTAAAACTCATTTGAAGGGCATGTTGCTGAGGTGGATCCTGAACAAATTCTGTCAACTAAAGGCTGATACAACTCTGCTAGAATGGCTGCTGCCTGATCTAGATCTGGGGAAAGAAAGTTTAGACTGATTGTGCTTTGTGGTTAGTTCAAGGAATGTCTTGACCTTTCTTTTTGCCATCTCTCACTCCTCTGGAGAGGGTGCTAAAGAGCTGCAAACTTACTCCCTCTTTTGTCCTGACTACCCTTCTACTTATAATTAAAGCTGTTAGAATTAGAGAAAAATCTCCATACAATGGGAACTTTTAGTGTTCTGTGGTATCTATAGAGGTTGACAAGCACTTCTGTGCTTACTGAGGTAAGCTTGCTTCAAGTGGTTAAATAGATTGCCTTGGTCAACTGCTTTTAAAGAGCCCAAGAGGTTTAGGAGCAAGCTGGCATTTAAGCTGAGGCTGCTCCTTTTTTGCCTCAACTCTACCAAGATTGGTTGTTGCCAAATGTCTTGCTTGCAACCTTTCCTTATTTTCCATGTCAGCTCCTATGTGTGTCAATAAGTTCAGGTGTGCTTTGTAAACTGGGTAAGACATTGCTTGTTCATGCCAAGTTTACATGGAGTTTGAGAAAGCAGTGCCAAAGAAGCTATGCAGGGCTGGGGGGCAACAAAACTTATCACCACTTTTCAAGAAATAGTAGATACGTTCAAACCAATTTCTCCAAAAGGAGCTATCTGATACCTAGGTTTCTGTAACACCCCAGCTTCTTGCTTGTGTTTGTGCTCTGCAGCTGACACAGGAGTAAGCCTTGCAGTAGCGCACTATTGTAAAGCTGCTGAGTTTTTAACTTGGTGAAGGTGCATTGTTTAACTTCTATGTTTCCAAAATAAAAAGGGTTTAAACTGATACTATAAAAAGTGCTGGCTTGCTTCTATTCCCCAAACTGCCCATACAGCTTTTCTGTTTTGCACTGCCATGGGCAAGCCTTAGCTGCAGCAATCTGTGGTGCCCGCTTTGAACAGTGGGCCCCTTCCTTGCATTAGATGCAAAACCAGACTATCACACTGAGCTTTCTTCATTTAGGTTGTTTCCTCCCATTGCTGTCTAGTCACAAGACCTCAAATGGGTAAAACTCTCAAATGTTTGTTTTGCATGTAGCTATTAATGTAATAAAGGCAGCTCGTGCTCTCTTCCTTTTGTGTTTGTGTGCAGTGGCACTCAGCTAGCGGGGTGCCATTCTTCATGGTGGTAACCCTGAATATCTGGCTTGGAGTTCACCCTGGTTAGTCTCTGATTTTTTTTTTGGTAGTAGCTCCTCCTCTGGGCTAAATTGTCCTTGTTTCAGCTCTCCCATCTACTGACTCGAACTGAGTTTGCCAAACTGTTGGGCAAGAAGGTGCAACTTGGGCGTTACCCTGTGATATTTCTGTCTAATGCCAGGACTTCTGTCTGGGAGCGTTGGCATAGTTGTGCCAGAGGGACGGCCCAAGTAAGATTGGCTCCAACAGTTGGCAGCCCTGGCTGGTAGCTGACATGTAACGCGTAACTGTGATGTCTGTAACCCAAACTCCACTTCCTGCCTCATGCTGTGGGGGGGAAAAGCACAGGCCTGAAGCTACTATGTTTGAGTACAGTCAATCAGTGCCTTAAAGGGGCTTTTTGTTAGGACAGGCACTGGCGGTGGCTGAGGTGGCCTGGCTGGGGCAGGGTCTCCCCAGGTGCTGCTGCCGCCTTCCCGCCCTTCCCCTCAGGGCGGTGGCAGGCAGGGCCGGCGCGCGGCCTTGTCCCTTCCTGCCTCCCTGAGGAGCAGGGGGTGGCTGCGGTGTCACCCCTCAGCCCCAGCCAGAGCGGCACCATCGCCTGGGAGGGCGGAAGGAGCAGGGTTTTCCTCTGTGATTACAGTGGGTTTTCTTAGGAAGTAGCCCTGTGCCCAAAGGGAAGCAAGTTCCCCTTCGGCAGCCTCCCTCACGCTTGTTGTGTGCCACGGGCAACGTGTTGTTACTTGCTGCCTGCTTTTTCTGAGGGGCAGGTGGGGATATCGGGACGGTCACTTCTGTTCACTGACAAAATGTGAAATTGGGTGAGGTAATGGCAGCTTGCTAACACTGTTTTCCCCCTCTCACCCTTCTTAAAATTTGTAGGTGATTGCTGCCGCAGAGGGAAGGCGCGAGACCTCTGTGTGGAAACGTTGCTGCCAGGATGCCGTAGAGGAGGAAGGCTGTTCCGCAGGGACCCTTCTCTGGAGCTGCCTGTGTGCCCCTGCTCCAGGGGAGACATGTTTGAGGAAGATGAGTTGTGAAACCCGCCATCGCGTCCGCTTTTACGAGGATACTGAGTGAGGGACGACGACAGCATGCCTCACCATGGACGCTTGTCGTGAAGGGACAGCTCTGTCCTCCAAAACGGAAACGCGAGCGCTGTAAACACTGATCCTGAACGGGAATTGGGATTGCAGGAACTGCCTCAGAATGTTTGTTAATCCCAGGAGAGTCAGAAAATGCCAGTTTTTGCAGATCTTTGCCACTTGCTTTGTACTGTGTCTCATGATTTTTTGGGGGCCATTTGATAACAGCATTGTGAGCCATATGAAGTCCTATTCGTACAGATACCTCATAAATAGCTACAACTTTGTGAACAACAGCCTGTCTATCAGAAGGGATAACTTGGACAGGATAGCAAGCTACCAGTACTTGATCAACCACAAACAGAAGTGTTGGCAGCAGGACGTCCTTCTCCTGCTGTTTGTGAAGACGTCCCCCGAAAACCGTCATCGGAGGGACGCAATTCGACAAACGTGGGGTAATGAGAAGTATGTTCGTTCCCAACTTAATGCCAGCATTAAAACACTCTTTGCTTTGGGACGACCAATGGGAGCACAGTTGCAAAGAAAACTTCAGGTGGAAGACCAGCAATACAATGACTTGATTCAGCAAGACTTCTTAGACACTTTTCACAATCTTACTCTTAAATTACTCTTGCAGTTTAGCTGGGTGAATGCCTACTGTCCTCACGCCAAGTTCATCATGTCTGCAGATGATGACATATTTATCCATATGCCAAATCTTGTTGCCTATCTCCAAAGTCTAGCGCAGATGGGTGTCCAAGATCTCTGGATTGGCCGTGTCCATCGTGGATCCCCTCCCGTAAGAGACAAGAGTAGCAAATACTATGTGCCATATGAAATGTATCAGTGGCCCTCTTATCCAGACTACACAGCTGGAGCTGCCTATGTAATATCAAGTGATGTAGCAGCTAAGGTATATGAGGCTTCACAGACTCTTAATACAAGTCTCTACATAGATGATGTTTTCATGGGTCTCTGTGCCAATAAAATGGGAATTGTACCACAATACCATGTATTTTTTTCAGGGGAAGGAAAGGCTCCATATCATCCCTGCATTTATAACAAAATGATGACATCTCATGGACATGTAGATGACCTTCACCAGCTCTGGAAGCAGGCCACAGATCCCAATGTTAAGAGGATTTCCTCTGGGTTTTTTGGTAGAATATATTGCAAAATAGTTAATATTGTGCTTCTCTGTAAGTTATACTACGAGGACACATATCCTTGTTCAGCTGCATTCTCTTAATACTTGAATATCTGCATTGAAGATCCACTGAGCCAAAATGGAGCAACAACTCTTTAGCTGTTTATTCAAAGTCCGTGTAAATGTGGAAAGAGGTAAAACTAAAATGTGAATATCTTTTTGAGGGAGATGGAGAGGGTGATCCCAAGTTCTGTCTGGAAACTGTTATTTGAATAGCTCTCTACTGTACTCCAGCTTCTGTGGCTTGTTCTTAGTCTTCAAGGGAGACAGGTCTGGATTAGGTGATCGTTAAATGAACTATAAATGGATTTGACTTCCAGACTTTGAAATTAATGAAAATGCTGGTTACTTTGAATTTTTCAGTCTTTCAGTGTAAGCTAAGCCCCCTTGTTTTTGTTGTTGCCTTTTTAAAAAGGGTGTATCAAAACGTAGAACTTTCAAAACAAGAATTAACTTCTGACATAAGGAATGGGACTACTACTTCAGTTTAAGCCAATGTAGAGTGGATAGAAATCTTGACCATTTCTAAATGTTATGTAGAAAATGACCCTTGATTTGTGTAACCCACAAGCAGTGCTGTAAGTGAAGACCTGCAACAACCTCATTTCTGAGCTCCCCAAGCCCCAGCAGTGGGAAAGTTGTGTTTGAGCACCCTCCAAGTTGGTTCTTTTAAGTAACATATATCCCCCAATTAGATTGGGAGTGAGCTTGAAAGGATCAAAATCTAGTTTACCTATGTAAGTGAGTTTGCTAATCTTTCTCTGCCTTCTGAAAACTGAAGCAGTATATTCAAATACTCTAATGTTTGATTAGCAAATAAGGTAAATCCTGTAAGAATATCTTTTAACACGGCTTCTGCTTTCCCACGTTTGTGGTTCTAATGGTGAAAGCCAAGCAAAAGTTTGGAACTGACTTTCCTTTCTCCAGAAATCTGGTTCGTTACAGCTTTTGGGAAGATGTGAATGAACTTAAAGAGCAAAATTTTGTGCCTGAGTTAACAGAGGCTATTTTATGCACTTCAGAAGTTTGACTTCACAATGAAGGGATAGGGAGATGGTGATCCACAGAAACTCAATACACAAATCAAAACCACTAACACTTTTTCAGAAGTTTTAAGCACAAGATGGTCTTTACAACCTCGAAATAGCTTGTACCAGAAAATCCCCCATCTTGAATAGATTTCAGTGTTAATCTTTACCTCTAAGATGAACCAAATGCTCTTGCGTTGTAAATTGGGATAAAACTAAGTGATACTGTGGTGCTGTGTAAGTCTCGTAAAAACAAGGTTCTGGAAGGACTGTGCTGCTTTTCCTTGCATCTCTAAGTGTCTTTACAGGCTCTTGGGATAGGTTGCTGATCGCCAAACCTGTGGTAGCTTTCAAAGTGGATACACAGGCCACCCAAGGTACAGTCAGATACTGCTTGGGAAGAGATTTGACAGGAATGAGTTTCAGGTGGACTGTGTCAGGAAACTGCTGCTTAGAGCTTGAATGAGTAATTTAGCATGTGGTGGTGACAAGCCAAAAGCTTGGAAACCAACAACCATCTGTCAGTTTTTTCTGGATCTATTGTGGCAGTATACAAAAACGACAGGGGCAGTGTTTGTTTTTAAGGTGTCTAACATTAGCCTTTTCTCCCCAAAGTTTATTGCTGTTCCTGCCGTGTGAGAGCAGTGAAGTGCCTAAACCGTGTCCTCTAACTTTACTTCAGAAACAGTTAAACTAAATGCTGATTTTAAGCTGTGAGTAGTAAACCTTGTTTAAAAAATTTCTACTACTCTTGAAGTTGTGCTAAGGTTGTAATGGTATGAATGGCTAATGTTAATTTAAACAAAATCCAGGAGTGAACTTGCTGCCTCTTCTCCAATCTGTCATTTCAGATGGCTGCTAGGTAGCTGCTAGAGTTAAGTGAAATATGTGACTTTCTTGAAGTGTGTGGGTGTTTTGTGCTTTTTTTTTGAGAAGGAAAAGAGTAAGCATCCACCATTCCAAAACCCAAATGTTCAGGATATGAAGAACTGACAAAAACTGCATACCCTCAGTGTCTAAATGATTAAAGTTATTATTCCAAAGAATATTTTAAAATATTCACATAAAAACAAATCCAACTTGTTATTGCCTAAGCAGATTGATTGCAGTACTGACATGTTTAAAAATAGAGCTATAATCAGCTTGTATAGAGAAATAAATATACATATAGAAAAGATAGCACTCAGCATTGAAGGTAAGTCTCCTTATCAGGTCTTTGATAACTTAACTTGTGACCCAAGTTGAATCAATAAGCTATATAGTGAGACTGCACTACATAATATACCTGTTCACTGTAGGAAAAGAATGTCCTTGTATGCAGTATATATATTTATCTAAAGTGTACTAAGACTCCAGTCCTTCCAGCATGAGTAGGCATTGGCATTTTGGGGTTTTGACTCATACAAGCAAAGCTAAAGTGCTTACATTTCTGTGGCATAATTACCTAGCTACCATCTAAAATGCTGCTTAAATTAAATAATAGCTTGATATTAAATGAAAGTCACTTCTGACCATTGAAATACTTTGTTTTACAGCTAGTTTGAGGGGGTTTTGTTCATTTGGATTGTTTCTCCATCTTAAAAGGGCCTTGATGTTTGTAGTTTGCATTTGACTTTGCGGCAGTGAATTCCAAGAAAAGCATGAAGGCACTCCTTCCAAAGAACGGAGAAGCTAGAGAACTTCTTTCTTTTGGTTGTGAACACTGGTGTAGGATTTGTACACCTTTTTCTGGAAATGTTTTCTTTTAACAAGAGCTATGGTTGGTGCTCTAATGCAGGGCTGTCAGGTTTTACTTCTACAAATAAAACTATCAGCCTGAATGGTCACTCCTCATTAACAGTTTTGATGTTGTTGCACAGCATGTTTAATTCTAAAGTTGTTTTTACCTGTTTGGTTTGCATCAGTTTCCCTTTGATATTACTAATTTTTATACAGAAGTATGCAATATTTATTCTTAAACTTTGTTCTGTACCACAAAAGATAATTGTTTTGTAAAACTTGTTTTGAATAAAAACTTTTTTTATTTACCAGCTTTTTGGTTTTCTTTTTAAATCTATTGTTGCATTGTTTGTAGCTGACAGTTACTGCTCTCTGCTTTTTTTTAACTTTAACTTTTTAAACCTTTTATGATAATTAAGGCTTGAAACCTTCCTTTGTGTGAACTTGAACCAAACCTGTCCTGGAACAAAATGCAAAATAGGTGTTTCCAAGAGGAGGGAAAAGAGAACATTTTTTTTTTCCTTTCTTTCCAGTCCAAAGTTGTAAGAAAAAATGCCAAATATTAGAAGCTTAATTGGTTAATGTTTAATTCCCAAATTCAAATACTCTGTCCAAATACACATCTTTTGTAAAGGGCAGGGAATTAATTTGCCTTCTTTCTAAATAAACTATTTCAAATTGAATTTGGCCTAGTTCAAAAAACTAGCTGTTGGTGTGCTGGGCAGTACTTTTATTGCAGTGTTACTATTTATAGGGTACATGAACACCTAAAAGACCCTTAAAACTCACTGAGTTGCATTTTTATGTCTCAGATCAGTTTATAATACTGAAGCCAACTAGTTTTTTTATAAACTTTTTGCCACTTCAGGCAATACCTGGGTGAACTAGTGGCATGGCTTGAGTATAAATTCATGGTCTAAATTAAGGTGAAGAAGAAAATGAAGGAAGTAGACGGAGCTGGGTCACAGGGTTGGGTTTGGGGATTGTGTTGGGTGTGTTCAGGGGGCAGGTGGGTGGGTGTTTGGGTTGGGTTTTAATTTGGGTTTCCTCCTGCTTGCATGGGAGGCAGTGCAGCCCAACCAGGACTGGATGTGCCTGGAACCTTTCTTACACTGTGATTTAGGCCTTTAGTGGTAGAGGACATTGTTCAGTGTCTCTTCCTCAAAGCTTTGGGAAGAGAAGACAGCAGGACTAGCATGTGTAGTTGAAAAGCAGGAGCTCCTCAGAAGCAGATAGTCAAATACTGCATTTCTTAAACACAAGACTTTTTGATACACATGTAATTCACCAAGACATTGTAAGGCTGAGTCTAATGAATTTTCTGAAGACTGATTTCTCACACCCCCTTCCTAAAACTTCTAACACCAAAAAGGCAGAGGGTGGCACAAAACCCATAAATCCTGCATAAATGCATGGTTATAAGCATTGCAGTGACTTTGTTGCATGTATCTGTTAATCTTAGAGTGGACTTCAAAGAGGTGGTTGAGCCTGTGCTGTAAATGTAAGTTTTTGCATTTTAAGGCAGCCAGAAATGGGCCTGGTCCTACCTCCTCCTTGTCGACAGGTTCTCATCGCTTTCGCTCATCACCAGCACCCTGCTCGACCCTCCTTGGCTCGCTTCATGCATCACTTCAATCTGAAGGGAAAGCACACATTAAAAGTAAGGAAGCTTAATTGCTGATGCTCTGATTTGTTAATTATTTTTTAAAAATAGATCCTAAACAGTCAAAGGTGCAGGTATGTTAACAAAAAAAAAAAAAAAACCCACACTCTTAGAAGTCCAAGCTGCAAATATGCTGTGCCTACAACAGAAGGGAAAGATGGGGGAAATATATATTACAGTTTATAAAACAGACCTAAAAATGAATGACTGTGTTTTTTCACAAAGCCTGTACCATTCTGTGGTATACACCTACTTGGGAGGGTGGTAAGTGGTCACTGCCAGTACTGATGAGTCCCAAAGTCAGCCTTCCCTTTGGGTTTCAACAAAGGTGAGACCAACCTTGTGTTTCTAATAACCAGATTTTAGCCTCTGCTTATTGCCAAAACTGTAGGCTCTTTTGGCCATTAAAAAAATCCATTTTTGCTTTCCAGCTTTAGGGAAATAAAATATATGAGCAAGCAAAGGCTACATTTAGCAGAGGAGTTAGGTGCAAGTATCTTGCACTTTTTTTTTCTTAATGCTTATATCAAAAGATAAAATTAAATTGTAGGATCATGCCAGATAGAGATTTGATGCACTTTTTCCTTTCAGTCCTTTGGGGTAACACTACACCCCTGCCTGACACCTTCCTCTTCCCCAGGAAAAAAACCAAATAACTCCTTCAAACAGCTGATTCTAATGTGGAATATTTGTGCTGACAGGATTAAACTGCTATAGAATGTAGTGCAGCAGTGTGTGAGTGTTACTGGTTTAACCATAAAATAAGAAAGAAGTGAGAACATACGAGGGTTGTTCTGTAAACTGCCCTCAATAGCGCTTTTTGCCAATCTCATAAGATGCTGCCCTAAAGAGCTGATAATATGAATGGTTAAGGTAAGAGTAAGGGAAGAGAGGCTGCAAGTTTATCAAAGCAATATTGTTATTTTAAAGGTTGTGAGTGGCACTGTGTGTGTTCTGCTTTATGTAATTCTTTATTTATTCTACTTACTTTTGGTAATCTTGAAATTAAAGTAGATATTGGCAAAGTAGAAGGTACTCTTGAAATTAGATATTGGCAAATTAAATAGATATTAGCAAAGTTATGACATACATCCATAGCACAGAAACATGCAGACTACACCCTCAGTGGGATTCCTGCTACCTCTCTGCAAAAGTATGTTTGCATGGTCTAAAAGCAAACATTTGAAATAAGCACAAATGAGGTGTTGCCTGCGTTTGACAGGTTTTTCTTGTTTTTGACCACACAGCAAATAGGTAATTGTGGATTTTTTGTTTTCTTTTTTTTTTTCTCTGTTTGCAGGTTCATTTTTAAGTATTACATGAGCATCCTTTACTACTTTGGGTAGAAATTGTCCTTGAAAGAAAATACTTGAAAAGGGAAAACATGTATAACTTTGTAAAATTCTGAACATAATACATCTTAACTTAAGAGGAGTTGGGAAATTATGCCTGTTTTGGGAACAAAATGATGCATGGTATGAGGAAGAAGGGACACTGGATCCACTTTAACGTGTTATAGTTGGGTGTTCTCCCTGCATTTCCCCTTTCATCCTTTGGAAGTGATGTCTACTTGTTTTTCCACACAATTGTTCTTAATTATAAGCATGTTGACCTTAATTTAACTATTTTGTGTTCTCTCACAATACAGAACGTCCCCAAACCGATGATATTCCTACCTTAATTCCGCCTTTAGTCTTCTTAACATTTTTCTTTTTTGATAACTCGACCTCGGAGATGGACTTTGGAGGGCAGGAAATTTCTGTAGACCTCCTATTGGTAGCTAAAGGAATCAAAGAGAAAGAATAATTAGAAAACCTGGGCTAAGAGGTGGAAAACCTAGTTCCCAGGGAAACTGGATTGCTTTTGAATGGGAAAGATATGGATAGTATCAAGAGATTCATTTAAGAGCACAGTGAAAGCCTTTAATAAATACACTTATGTGTTGATCGATTTTAGAATGACCCTGTCATTAAATTTACCTGTTTCTGCATTAAAAACAAGCACAAGCTCCCCAAATGATGTGCAGTTAGAAGGATATAAGATACTGGCCTCACCAACAGTGACAACAGAACATTTTCTCTACCCTTAGAAATGTGTTTTCAACTGCCTTCCCATGCAGCTCAACGACGAAGCTATCATCTCGTTTTTTTTTTTTCTCCTGAATCTTCCCGTTTTTACAGCATGCCGAATCCCACAGGGACTTGGCACTGTGCACGTCATGCCTGTTACCTCCTCACAATGACTCCCTTTTAGAAAGTTGCTGCAACGAAACAGCCAAGTCTGGCAGCCACCAGTGGCTGTGGGCAACTGGTAGAAGGTGCTGCTGGTTCCCAGGCCTGAGCTGAAATGCAGATGTCGATGCTATTTGGTTCCCCCATCACTCCTTACTAGGCTGTGCAGCAGGGGGTTGGTTCTGGTTTTGAGTGCTGCTCTCAATAGATACCTTCTACAAAAGAAAGCTTTTCATGAAGTAATTGCTCTCTCAAAGATATTGTTATTTCACCCTTAAAATGCTGTACTGACATTTGGAAACAAGGAAAAGACAGACAAGATGCAACAAGTATAAGCTATTTGTCCTTGTGGTTGTGTTTTTTCATAAGTTTCCAATTTATTGGAAGAGGATTTCTACCTTTCTACCAATCTTCATGGACTATTTGATACATTTTCAAATGGGCACTTTTACCTTTTTTTTTTTTTTTTTTTCCCAAAGAATCCTCAAGTAAAGTGCCAATAGGCATCGGTAAAAACACTGTTTTCAGTGTTAGTGCATCCCAATGATTCTATTTAGCCCTAAAGTCTTATCTACCAAGACCTTGACAAGACTCAGGCTGTGATCATACATATCACACTGAGAAATGTTATCCTCTAATGCGTCTCCTAACTATAGCCTATCTTTATCTTGAAAAATAGAAATGTCAAAAACAAAAATCCCTATTTGATTTAAAAAAAGACATTATTTCATATGCACCTGCCCACACCTACCAAGTTTCTAATCAGTCTTTTTCTTTTTCCCTTAGAATTCCTGGATAGCCCAGAAATGCTGTCAATATCCAGTGACCCTACGTAAATCTGGGTTCAGTCACTTGGATTGTTTTACAAAGCCAATCCCAGAGTCTGATATGTGCTGAACATGTGTTATTAAAGGGAACAGAGGCAGAGGAAATAACTTCAGGAAACATAAGTTGGTCTTAGAACAGCACAGTCAGCAATACCGAGTAAGTTGTTTGACTATCCATTAGTCAGAAAGGTTTCTAGCTTGAAGGGATGATTGATGCAAGTGTGAAATACTGGCTAAAAGCAGTCAGGAGAAAAATGAGGAAATCACGACTTTAATGTCTGGACTGTGACTTAAAAAAAATCAAAAAGCTCCAGCTGATCTAAGGAAAGAGAGATGTTTGCAGTGAAAGGTGATGCATTCACAAGAAGCCCACGCACAGATGCTCCTTGATCCAGCAAATTGCACAGGACAATTTTCTAGCTTTTCATCTTGGCTTCATCAGCATGATGGATTCCAGAAGGAAGGAGGCAGAGGCAAGATAAGGACCAAATCAAATCCGACTGCCTGCATTTCAGGGAGGGGAATTTGGTTCACACTGACACAGCAAACTCACTCCCACTGATTCGATCCTGAAGTGAACTCAAAGCAGGGAACTGGCAGGCCCATATCCAGAGACTGCTGCGTGTCACTGTATTTCAAGAGCTCCTAGAGACCTTTAGGAAGAAACAGCCGTAATACCTGCCAGTTATTACTGCAGTAATTACCGTGGAATGGGAAATATTTCAAAAGGGAAACTTCAAGTATCCCGTGAAATTGCCAGTTTCAAAGTTGTTTCTGTACTGAACATCTGAGAAAGCTGTAATGAAGGTTTCACTGCCTGTCCTTCAAGAAAATGTAACAACTGAAAAACATCTACTGAAAGGCCAATGGCAGAGGCTGCAAAACTGTCTACCGGTAAGGTCTGCACAGATGCAGGACTGTTTGCATCCTCTTGCTTTGCAGCACATCATATCCTCTGCATAACAAGTATTAAAAGATTTTATTTTCAACTGGACAATATTTGCAATTGCTCAGTGTGGCTTTTAAAGATCGTTAAAGGATTTTGTATGCAGAAGCAGCGTTTTTATTGTAATTGATAATTTATTGATAATTTGATATTGATATTAATATAATAATATATAATAGTTATAATATATATAATTATAATTATATATAATAATATAATAATAATAATAATAATAAATTGATATTTATTGATAATTACAGCAAAGCAACATTTGGGTTTATTGCTTGCATTTACCTGGAGCACCACTTTGCTTCTCCAATGTGACTTTGATGCTGCTTTTCTAGTTTTCTATGAATAAGTTGCACAACAAAGACAACATTATGGTTTATCCCATCACTTATCCCCATAACCCCCAGCAGTGGCAATATGGGCAGTGCTGTCCCTGAAGCTGCTAGGAAAGGAAACAGGCTCATGTGCTTGGAGTTGCTTTGTAGCCTCTCCAGCACTCCGGGGCAGAAATAAATTCAGTAAGGAAAACTGCTGTGCTGCTTTGGGGGGAAAGCTTTGTTTCCAGCCATTTCCCCAGCCTTGGGGAAACGCAGGAGCAGACAGGATGTCCCTGACGTTCGTTTCTCACCAGACTGCATCACACAGAGACGAGGGGCAGGCAGAACTGCGTGCAGTGAGAGCAGCTTCCAGGTGCTCGGTGACAGCTGGGTGAGTCCATCTGGGCAACCGGGCTCAAATTTGCTCCTCCTGGAGCAAACATAACTCAGCAGCTGGCAAAAGACAAGGACTCCGTGGCCAGGGATTACGATACCCACCCTGCACTTGCAAGGTGAATATTCGAAGCATGCAAGCTTCAAAGAATAAGCATGGAAAGGAGTAGTCTGCACCACTCTTAATTGGGGTTTGGTGCCCCACAGGATCATGCTTGGGAGATAATTAATGACTTAATAGAGACTTTGAGTGCTGGTGATGACAAAACCACCTGCTTGGGGAGCCAGAGAAGCTCCAGAGCATCTAAGGTTCAGCATCAAGCAACTTGACAAAGAAAGTCTTTTCCATTCTTAGGCAATATAATCTATACTTGTGTGTTCTAGCAATTGCTATCAAATCCCATGAAAACCTGCCCATATAAGAAGAGGAGAGCGAGGCCTGCTGTACATGGAATATTCTTCTGTAAGGAGACAGACTGTTCGGTTTGCTCAGACTTGGCCGAACACGATAGCAGCCCTACAAACACAAAATTAAAAGCATCTTTTCATTCTCTCTGCTTCTTTTATAGAAGGATCTTGAGCTACAGAAACTGGTGGTTTCCCAAGAACCATTAATAGAAATCACATTCGCAGCCTTTTCTGAGTCAGCTAATGTCTCTGCTGCTTCACTTCCCCTGCACACATCCCCAGACACTTGCAAGATATTCTGCTTTTATCCTCTATCCAGATGTTCCTGGTTAGTGAGTGTTATGCATTAGTGACTGTGAGGAATGCTGGAACAGATCCAATGAGCAGTCACATACACTGGAGTGAGATGGAACCAGTTTGGGTTTTATTATTTGATGGACTGCAAAGGCTCCAGCTGTGTTGCCCCATGTGAAGTTCATGTTCCAGGCTGGCTTTCCCGCATGCCTGCAGTGTGAGTCATGGGTTTCATGCTAAACAGGTTACTTGCCTAATGAGCTCACAGAAATGTCAACTTCTTGCTCCTGTATTTCACATTTATGCTGCACACAAAAGAAATCCCCGGGTGAACATTTTATAGCACTCAGAATACAAGAGATGCCAAAGGTAAAGCTACATGTGGAACGCTGGTTTTGCCCCCTTCCTCCTCCTACTAGGGTATCTTGATAAAACATCAAGCACACATACTATTTTCTCTCCCTAAGGACCTCTGTTCGATTCAGTGCATGGAATCAAAACACCTACTTTATGAACAGCTATTCACTATTTCGATTTATCTGCAATTTTCCCTGAGGGACCAGAGCCTTACTATCTGTATGCTGTTCCGAGCCCTGCTCTGAAAATAATTGGCTTTTTTTTTTCTTGCTTCACAATACTCAGAGGTAACAGATGTTATCATACCTGCCGAGATCTCCAAATTTCTCAGACAAAACCAGAAAAGAAACCACTGATTTGGAGGACCAACCTGACATCTTTAGAACTGAGTTTTCAGAGTTTCAGAGGGCTGTGCTTCACACGCTCAGGAGCGCCCGCCTGCCCGCTCTGATTTCACAGCCTTTCACAGTCCTTTTGATGGAGATTTTTTTTTTTAATTTAGCGATACAAATTATTAAAAACAAAACTCCCAAAACTGCACTAAGTTGACTCACGTTAACACCCACACGGGTATTTAGCAGGGTTGGAAGCTTCTGCCCTGCAGTGCCAGCTTCTCTTCCCCATGCAGAAGGGGCAAAGCAGCAGGAGGAACCGTGACCTGGGGACACCCGAACCCCTCTGAGCTGGGGCTGGTACCGTGGTCCCTTTGCTCCCTGGCCATGCACTTCTCTCCCTTCTTTTTTGTCAGCACTGCTCTTTAGGCAACTGCATGAGGAGGCTGTTCAGGGAGCTGGGCTAACCAAAACCTGGCCAACCAGACAAAAAATCCCATGCTGGGGGTTTTCAGTTCCCTCCTTTGCTCCCTCCAGTTATGTGACGGTAGGTTTTGACACAAGAAGTCAGAAGAACCCTGCACTGGGGGCAAGAAGAGGGGAGAACAGGAGCCTGACGCTGCCCTGCATTAAGAAGCCTAGAGCTGCCGCGGGATCATATTCAAAGGAAACGCAGCGGGCTAAGAAACACTTTCTTTTCTGTAGGCTTCACATTTTTGCTGACAGCAAAGGAAATGAGACTCCAGGAGCCAAAGCGCAGCAAGTTCACACACAGCCAGGGTGCAGGAGCTGAGGCTTTGGGGGTTGCTTTTTTCACAGGCTTTGCTAATGCTGCTATATCTGGGCACTTTAAAAAAGGACAAAACTACTTGGTATTGCTCTTGCCACAAGGGTAACTAAAACAAAAAGATTTTCCAAGTCTGAGGGGCATGAACTGTATATTGTCAAAGTTTTCCAAGAAAACGTCAGGTTTAATCAGATACCCTTTGGGAAAGTTTCATTCCACAGAGTTGAAGCCTGGCAGGATTACCAGCAAATGAGAACAGAGAAATGCTAATTGCAGCCAGCACTAAGAGCTTATATTATCCTGTATGGCTCCGTGGATTATCCCACTGCGCTTGACAACCCATAGTCACCACGAGCCTGCATGGACTGTGGGGGCCTGTGCCAATTCCCCGCAGCCAAGGAGCTTTGTGCAGAAATGCAGCTCACAGACACGTAACCAAAGCTACCTGTTACATTAGAAGGGAACTTCAGTGAAGAACTTTCCTCATCAGGTGCCATCTCGTTCCCTCCAGCACACACAGGTAAAAGTTTTGCCATTAGTTGTATTCATGCAGCTCTTGCTAGGCATAAACAAACTTCTCAAAGTGCCATATATATGACTTTAAAGATTTTCAAAGCATTTGCTACTGAAACAATAGCAGAGGTTTTTCTGGGTTGATCTGTGAATATTTAATCAGATTCCCACAGATAAAATTCCCACCAAATCCAATTGGCTTCATCTGCAAATCAATGGGGATCATGGTAGTTCTAGTCCTGGTTTTACAGTGCTGGACAGGCTCCTTCCTGGGGAATTCACAAATGCATTTGGGAAGCAAAAAGCTTCAAGCAAAAATGGGATGATTTTAAAGTGTTGCCTCAGAATTTCCAGTTCCACAGAAAGGCATTTGGTGCAACCTGCACGAGGAAAAGGTCCCGGGGCAGCTCTGAGCTGCTGCTCTGTGGATGTGACTAAGGTAAGAGCCTGCCAAGGTTCCTGTGGGGCACAGCCCCAACAAACTGATGATCATAATCATTTCCCTTGGTAGAAATCTGTCCTGTACGTAGGATCAGCTCTGCACGTGCGCACCCATGTCTATTTACATGCAAAAGAAAGTGTCTCACATTTACATTAGCAAAAGGTTTCCTGCTTGAGTTTTCACACCTTTTAAGATCTTTCATTAGCACTTTGAATTGCATTGAATTTTCCCTGCCATTCCTTGTTAGGGAAATGGAGAATTAACAAGATAGAAACAAAACAAAACAAAATTCACAGATAGCTGCTGCCCTGGTGTTGTTATATGGGCAAGAGCCTTTTTTCTGGACACCTGGTTCTGTTGACCACATTTTATTGCCTTTGCCTGTTTCCTTCTTCACCTAGCCTAGGAACATGGTAGTTACCTGCTGCCTGTTCCTGTTTCATAAGATTTTACCAATATACAGGTATGTCCCGGGTCACAAATAATAATGAGTTACAAAATCTATTCCAAGAAGGCAATCTCAGCCTCTTACTTTTTTTTAAAGACTATGCCCAGTAAATTCTCCCCATATCTAAACACTGACTGCAGACTGTGACGGAGGCAGTGGGATTTCTGCGTTCGTGCAGAACCCACTGGTACTATCCCAAGAGTCAGAGAAGAGCTACGCTTCCCATAAAGCAGCTGTGCATGGTTACTATTTAACACAAACGCATCTTCAGAGAAAATTAATGGACTACAATATGTAAATTGTTCTCAGAGAGCTTGAAAAAGAAGAATGGGTAAGTGTGAGCCTAGCTGTGGATGAAAGGCACAGAGGAAAGTCCAGTAGAGGGTAGCTTCAAGAAGAACAGATTTTCACAGCCTCATTTTCAAGGCTTGGAATAGGACTTAGTGTCCCCGTTTCTACTCCCAGCCATATTTCTGACTCAGACTGTGAAAGCTCTTTCACAAATCACTTGCTCTGTGCTCCAGAGGTCAAAAGAGAGGTCATAACAGCTCCCAGAGCTACTCCAGCGCTGGGAAGTGCTCTGGCTATTAACTACTACTGAAGGTACCAAAAGTTTAATAATAAATCTGCAGGTGCTCAAAAATGGCAAGAAAAGTTGACAAAACAGAAGTTCGAGAAACACAAGCACAGGCACTGCATGACCAGAACCACCAGACTTAGCTTTTAGCCTAGAGGTAAAATTTCACAATTGCTGAAGGTCACTCTAAACCCATGATCCCACCTACAGAGACGAGTTCTGAGCAACTTGATCAGTTCTGAAATCAGTGCTGCGTTGAGCAGGCGATTGCAACAGATGATCTTCAGAGTTCCCTAGCTCACACAACAGAAAAGTAACTGCTTTTTCTTAGTTAGTTCATTGAATTTTCACAGTGAAACAAAAATCACACAGCTACTTGATTCCTAATGACATTTGAAGAGGGAAACATATGGCTGGAGGATGTGGGCAGCAAAACAAAACTTGAAGAGCACTGTGGTTTTAGCTTGCCTTAAGACACTAGTAAAACCACACTTGAGACAACTGTATTTTTTAGAACACCACTAGCCAGCATTGATACATTTTGGGGAAAAAATGCGGATATTGTGAAGCGGGCAAGAGAGCTGGAAACAGATCATCTTCCTTGGCCACAGAGAATGAGACCTGGGAAGTGGAGAGGGACAACAGGAACGTTTGTAAGAGCATGTGATAAAAACTCAAGAAAGCAAAAGGGTCCGGTTACTGGCTTGCCTGATTTTCCTGATGAGAAAGCGAAGCTTAATGCATGGTCCTCATGCACATCAGTTTACTCTTTCAAGGCTTTCTGATAAATGTTCCTCTTTTTTAAAAAAAACCCTACACTTCTATTTTCAAAAATCTTTTAACCACGTTTGCTGAAAAGAGAAAACCCCTTCCCAGGCCTGCGGGTTGGCCTCCAAGATGCACTATTTTAAACTAGCTTCACCCACGTTCTTTTTACAGAGAACAGTTATTTTGGCTAAAGGCACATGCTAACTTAAAATTTGAAACTTTCTGTAAATTCCTAACAGGCAACGTTCAAATTTTATGGTTAGTAAAGGACGACACCAGATGATGAATAAATATTTTCTTAAGAGGAAAGTAAAAGAACAGGAAATCACACGGATGAGTCAATGTCACTAATTATACCTTCATTAGTCTTTGTATTATCTGATTGATATTGAGGTTATTGAGATCTTTTAAAGCCAATTATTCACGTTACAATACAGGCAGTGTAAAAGATGCTTACTTTATACACTTGCCTGCAACTAACCTGTTACTGGTTTTCCAGAAAGAATTAGTTGTATAAGATATATTAAGAAATAGCATAGGAATGCACTCTGCAGACTGGGCCTAGGATGAAGAGCCTGAAATGTTTTTGACTCACCTTTGTATGCTTGCAGCAATAGATACTCCACATTCATTTTTCATGTCTGGGCCTACCAAGGCCGACATTGAAAATCAAATGCAAGTTTTCATTCTGATGACAAAAACTAAGCATGACCATGGGGACAAAACACGGGTGTGTGTTTGAAAGCAGCTGCATGGCACGTACCTACTCCGGCTGGTCTAGTCGTCTTTGGTGATCCTCGCTTTGGGGAAGACTCGGGATGTGGGGCAACGGGTTGCACTGGCCGAGTCTGTTTGGCTGCCAACTTCTTCAGACTCACTTGCCTCTTGTCAAACATTTCTTGTACATCTTCCAGTTTCTGTACTATCCTTTGGGCATTGGCCTAGGGAAAGGAAATGCAAACAGTAGATAAATGCCAGTGCTAGATTCAGCAAGGACTTCTGCCCCCACCACTCACACAAGGTGCACTGTAGCTGAAGACCATGCTGTGTTACTTCAGTGTTAACACAGCCCATGCACTCTTCACATGGTGCCTCGTGCATTCTTTGCAGCATTACTTTAAAGAAAAATCACTTGTGTGTTCTGGGACTACTTCCATGTATAAAGGTATTGTCCTCACTGCTCACCTCAGTGCCCTATAATGCTTCACTATCAAAAGAGGTATGTTTGAGCACACTCAAAAAGCACAAGCCACTGCTCTGTCATGTACAAGTGAAACGCAACTTTGAAATTCTACCTGAACGCATGCGTTCAGTCTGAGGTGTTTTACCTTTATTTCTGGAGTGAGGATCATGTCAAACTGATTATAGAACTCTTTAGGGTTAGACAACTGGTGTTCCTTAGCTGTCATCAGGAACTTCTCAATTTCAACGAGTGCAGTTTCAGCTCCCTCTTGTGACTGGCATTTGTCCACAGCTTGGGAAGCTAAGAGGTAGATTCCAGCTTCGCACCACTGGCTTGCCTTAAAGAAAAAAGGGGACAACAAGGTATCCATCATCACTGACAGCCCATGTTGGGAAATGTTGCTTCTACCTTATGAAATATTGATTTGCCCTTATAACTCACTAAAAGGAATGAATATTACTTCATAGCACTCAACAGCTCCTGGCCACAACTCACACCACCTAACAACGTAGAGCAAGAGTAAATCAAATTCAGGTCTCATGGGATAGATGGCCCCCTAACATGTAAAGTAATAATAATGAGATTCTGAGCAAGAAAGTGGAGTGTTACTATGATTGCTGCAAATCAAAACTTTCAGCTATGCTATCTCATTTCAGTGTCACAAACTGATGCTGCATGCCACATTTCAAAGCCACACAATTATCTAAAAGTCAAAGCGGATATTTGAACTGAATCAGAACTCCCCCAAACTTCTTAGGTCTAAAATTTGGTTAAAAATGATCGAAAGAAGGTAGTCTCAGAATTTTTCTGGTAATTCCTGTTTCAGTTTTGACTGCAATAGCATACAGACACTCAGCATTTTAGCTTTCTATTCTAGTCAAATCACAAAAAGATGAAAGCAACTGAACTAGAAGAAAACTGTTTTTAAGCTCAGAATATGTGTTTGGTTCTTCTTTCAATTCTTCCTTAATTTTATATCCCACTTCTTACTGTTTTAGGACCACATTTATGAGAAGCTACAGCTACAGTTTTTATAGTAGCAGTTTCAGAATGAAATGGAGAAAAAAGGAGTAAATCCTATTTCCCTTCATCCAAATTACCCATGCATTCATTTTCAGCAGAACCTTACCAGGAATGTTCACTGAGAAGACTCACTCACCTTACTTATGTTCGCTTACCTTATCTAACTGCTTATGCAGTTCAAGAGACTTCCCCAAAATATCATATTTTTTCTTGGTTTCATTGGTAAAGTCATCACAAATACGCCTGAGTTCAACACACTTTGGTCTAATGGAGTCAACTGCATAATGGTTGTTTTGGATGAGCTGTTCTCCATGAAGAGCTAGAGATTGGGCCTTCTCCAAAGGTTCCTATGAAATTAATAAGGAACAAATAAAAGTTAGATCTTGAAGGGACTAATAACAAGAACCCACCTTTGCAAACCCTGGTATAACCTGGAGCTAGAGATGTGGAATATTCATTTAGCTGATGGCTCTTACTTTAAACTTGCATTGAAGACCACGTCGCAACTGTTAATGAGTATTCCTAGTTGTTTCCAGGGCAAAGTCAAACTAAGTGAGTTTAAACGACTTGTGACACTCAATCATCTGCTCTTCTCAGCTATTATGAACTCCGTGCTGGACCCTTGTAACTACAGAAGAACTTCTTCATTTCACAGAAGGCGAAACATGATTTTAAACTAGATCCGTCTCAGCTGACTAAGAGCTGCCCCTGATAGCATGAATATCAAATGGAAGAAAAGGTTTTAAGGGTATGTTGTGAACAAATCTCGATTAAAAAACACCTAACCATGTAGTAGTTACTTTTCTAAACAGGGGAGCATATGTCTTTGTGTTTCACACTGGAGATACTCATATATGAAGTTTTTTTTTCTGTGAAGTTCCCAATAACCCCAAATGCTATTATTTTTCACTTGCAATTATCAGATTTCCAATGCTTTTTTTTTTTTTTTTAATTTTTCAAGATACGTTTTGGAAAATGTTCCAACTGATTTTACTGACCACATATTCATAAGCTTAGTCATGATGGGATGTAATTAGAGGTGTCTGACAAGCATTGAGTGGAAGGGAAATGCAGATTAACTTACATTCAGGATTGAACGTAAAGAGATGGGCAAAAATCACAGTATTTCTGAATCTTAATTCTCTGCTTAAGAAAGAGATCCGTGGCTTTTTCATTTGTTCATGCGTACTCTCCTCTGATTCATCTTACTGATTTGTTCAATAGATTTGAAATGCAGGTTTTTCATCTGGCTTCCATATTTCCAGGTAGTAATGCAAGTTTTCAGAAATCAGGATCCTAGTTTTGTAATTTGAAATCATGTCCCACAAGAACAGAACGTGGCATAAGGACGTTGATAGAGTATAAGGACAGTGATACCAGTGTAAGGACACTGACAGATTTGTCTGGAAGAACGCATCTATAGCAGCTAGCATATGATACTGAATGCAAACCTGTCCTTTCTCTTCCAGTTGTTTCTGCTCCTTTAAGAAGTTCTCCACTCGAGTCACGCTGTCTCCAATGTCAGCAAAACTTGCTTGTGCTTCCATGAGATTATCCAACACCAGTTTCACCTAACAAAGAGAAAAAAAAATAACCCAAACCTTCGTAAGATACCTGTATAATTATAACAAAGGTATAGCTTCTAAATACTTGCTTCTCTCTCTCTCAGTTTTCAGAATAGAAAAGCCAACGCATAAAGTCATAACCAACTATTCTTCAAAGAGCTGCATCCCTTCTTCATTATTTATTTAGGCCAGCTGAGATTTAAAGACTTTGATTGAGTCAGAGTCTCTATAATTCCAGAATCTCTATTATTCCATCTTCAGAGCTGATAATGAGGCTTGCTGAATTGAATTTCACAGACTGGGACTTAGGTAGGACTGAGCACTTACCATCACAGAAGGTGTGATATACGGTAACATATCGCTCATAAACACACAATGATTTATGAAGAAGTTGGTGTTTCCCATTTAACCTAGCAGGCTGGTACCTTCCTCACTGTACCTTATTTAAATGTTCTAAGATACGTGATAGCTGGCAAAATTTTCATTTTGTTGTTTCATCTCAGTGTATGCTCTTCCTATTTTATAAGCAGTGGTTTCTCTTGCAACCTTTTTTTCTGGACTGCCAGTATACTGTAACTATAGCTTAAAGTTTGAACATATTTACCCTAAAACAGCTAGACATAATAAACAAAGGATATACCTCTCTAAAATCATGTTCAAAGTGCCGAAGCTGCAGGCATTGTTCCAATTTTAGGTGATGCTTGGTCCAAAATTGATCGAAAGCCTTTTCTGTTTCATCCAACTGAGCCAATAACCTGTTAAAAATAGAGTGAAAAGCACTTACTTATCTCCTATAGTACATATAGTACATTACAGAACAAGAGATGGTGGAGAACCTACACCTATGTAAGTAGCAAAACAAGATGTGTGTCAACTCTCCCTTAAGCAAAAGCAGAATATTTGCAAGGGGACAGGAAGGAACATGACTGACAAGTGACAACCACATGGCTCCAACAGTGGCAGCTGCCTCCTGTCCTGCAACAGGAATGTGGTGCTGATCCATGCGCTGGCAGCCCCGTGTGGCTTTCTCTCAGCTTCCACCTAATTCTTCAAAGAATTCTTCACCCAATCCAACTCAAGTTGATGCAAATCAAATATGATGCAATCATTAATTTACGGAATAATTAAAGCAGAACTCTACTCTTTATTGTTCAATTTCTTTGGCCACCAGAAATAGGCAATAACTAAATCATTTTTTCCCAATCTGCCTGACGCCACCACAAGATTAGAGGCTCGTAATGCCTGCTATTGACACTGTTCCACTTGGTGTAGATAATTAAGCTTTTTTTTTTTTTTTTTTTTTGGAAAAGGAATCAATATCAAGGTGTTCCCTCTCCTGAGTAATGCATGTAACACACCAGACTAGTGAGTCATCCTCCTCATACAGTCTCTAAATGGTCAGTTAAATATTCTACAACATGGAACAGTTCCAAGAGAAAATTCTGGGCAAGCAGGAGGCTGAACCTGGTGTCCTACAGGCTGAGCCAGTGTTGGAATCACCAAAGAACCAGGGTAAACACTGCTACCTCCCTTCTATTCCTCTTAAAAGCACAGCAGTGTTTTCAACTGATCTCTGAAAAATATGTTTTTAATCAAAACTTGATGAATTCAGGATGAATCACGAATTGTTTGGGGATGACTAATTTCAGATTTTGAAGTACTCAGTGAAAAATAGCAACTCAGCTTTATTTTTGGCAATTTTATTCCTACAAAACTCTGTGAAACACTAACATGACATTTCTCTTTCTATGGCATCACAGGGCAGGGAGAAATTTCTACACGGTGCTTAAAGGTTATGGCAATAACTAGGACTGTAGGAAGGCACAGGGGTTTCTCTCTCCCCTTATGCAGCCGTGCAGGGGTTTATTTTGCAGTATCTTCTTCATCCCCCAGGCATATTCCCCCTCATCACACATGGCTTTAAGTGTCACTTTCTCAACAGGCACAGAAATTTAGAGGATGTGCATATTGCGGGGAAAATAAAGTCCTACATTAAACCTGCAGTCAGATAGTTAGTGGTCCAACCAAAAGCATTCAGGACCTGTTTGAATTTGCCTGGCCAGTTTTGTCAAGCAACATCTCATAACCACTGTCTTCTCTCAGTTACCTATCTAATAAACAGCGAGTAACTGCAAACTAGCGGGAATTCACAGTCCCTATATTTAAATCATTTAAATGAGGACCTAAATTACACATGCACTTCTTCAATTAGCTTCAAAGTAATCTAGCTTCACCGACCTTTCTACTGTTGCCACATTTTCCAGTTCATCTGGGCTGAGTTTGCTGTTGGCGCTTCGGGTGACTGGCTCCCTAATGCATGTCAGTAGGGTGGCCCCCTGCTTCACTGCTAGTTTCAGCTCATCCTGAGGGGAAAAAACAAGCCACATACATTTGTGTACTCACCCAGTGGTGCTCACATAGGCCAGGTGGACAATATGGTAATGCTAAAGGAGGATTCTTTTGTAGCTATTAAAAAGTTGGAGCAAAATAGAAATGTTTATCAAGAATTACATGGTCTTTCTAGAAATGGAGAGACTAAGTCTCTTCAGTGGGAATGGTAGATGCGATATTTCCTGAGAAGGAAAAAGTGCATAATTTCCAAGCAGATTGGGTTTTTGCCTTGGCAACTTTCATAACAAAATAAATACTCTGGCACAAATGAAACTCATCCTGCAGATTGTTCAGTGAGCTTACAGTGCTGAGACATTGCACTTCTTAAAGGAATTTCCTTAAGAAAAGCCTTGCCGCGCTGAGCTACAGCATGTCAGCTCTCAGGGAGTCATCCTCAGAAGAAGGTGTCCTTCCCAGCATGAACAGAGAGCCATGAAAAGAGAAAGAGGGCTCAAAAATTAACATGTCAGCTGGAAGAGACTGCAGACCACTGCACGACTCTAGGTAACAGTTAACTACTCTGTCAAATTCCATATGCACAAGGGAAGATGCAGTAACAATGATTTGACACTCAGAAAATCCAATAAAGAGGACCAAATAAGCACAAGTGGAGGCAGTGGGCAAACTTTTGTTTATTTGAGCAGTTACATTTTGGAGAAGGCTGCTTTGGTACCCAGTTGTCTTCCAGGTTTTACGGGAGAGGCTGAGTTTGGACTGCAGCACAGTCCCTTAGCGCAGATGGCTTTGTAACCAGAGCACAACATTGTCCTGAAATCTATTTTTAAGTCATGAGGGGATATCTGTGAAACACAATCTTTATTACTTTCCTGGAAGATAGGGATTCCACAATGGAACATCATCAAATCTTGGAGATGCTATAGCTCATGCCAGTTAGAAGAGAGCAGGACAGAACACTCCCTGTGTGGCAGACCCAGCTGGAAGGGGTCTATGTGACTGGAGAGCTACATGGGAGAAAGCAGCTTTGCTCACTCTCCAAGTCAGTGAAGAATTCACTTTCACACCACTGAATCCTCTACCCAGATTTTCCACCACTGCACTTTCTTCCTCTGCATCGTTTTCAGGATGGGTTTCCTAGGGTGCTGGCATGGAAATGTTCTGTCACCAGCCTTTTGCAGGGATCTTTGCTGCTGCTGCACAAGGCTGGTCACCTCTCCCTGTGCTGGGACACGAGCAAGACTAAAATCAATAGAGATCTGCAGCCTCCGGAAGTCTGAGTACTCTTTCTATCCAGTCTCCAGCAGCAGGCAAAGCCCCTGCAAGATTTTTCTACCAGCTATTGTAATTCCTAACGCTCTGAAACAATTATTAGTCACATGCCTGCTGGAGAAAGAGAATGACTATTTGCTTATTTATTTCCTATTATCTGTTTGTTTATTTCCTATATTCATGAAGGCAGAATCAGTGCCAATTCTGTTCGCAGCAACGCAAACACAGAGCTGGGACAGATCTGCTTACTCCAGACAACTTTATAGCCCTTTCAACCCCAATGAAAGGCCATCTCCAAACCAACCACACAGCAAGAGTGTTCCAGAACCTTACTGCTTTGATTGGTAAAAATCTGTCCTCCATATCCAGCCCAAGCTCATGATCTTTTTTGTTCTTTTACTGAAATAACTGAAACAGTGATTTTTTTTTCTTCTGTTCAATCCTGAGGCAACAGATTTTTTTTTCTGAGGTTAAACATACCCCAACGTTTTTTTTAAATTTTATTATTTTTTAAATTCTCCCAAGATATGACAGTCATCAACTCCTGAACCCAGGTTTCTCTCCCCTTCAGTTGTTTCAGCTGATGGACTGATGATGGTGGAAAATTTTGCTAAATCCAGAATCATACATCACACTGATAGGGCTTTCAGCACGCGACAACATTCACCTTCAGCTTGCTGTGGTGGTCAGTATGGGCTGAGAGGAGCTCCTCCGTGCACTTCACATCATTGGGAAGTTCAGTCTCTGCTAGGTCTGTCCCGAAGGTCTGCAGCATCTGTGCTGTTGTTTTTACTGTCATTGCAAAGTTTTCAATAGCCTGGAAGAGCAGGAGGGTCACAGAGTCACACACTGGTTATTTTCCCTTAGCTTGGTAACAAGCTTAGACCTTCAGACATGTGAGCACTGCATGCCTGCAAAGCTGCCCAAGTTGCCTCCTGTGGGTAGATCTGCTACAAGCTACAGATTAAATCCTGTGCCAAAAAGATATTTTCCACAGATTTACAAATTCATCTTCATAAACCAGCTGGGAAACTCGCAGGGCTTAACAGACAACAAAACCACAGCGGGCATCAGCTTCAAAGCCGAGACTGAAACTTCACATTCTCTGCCCATGCTTGCTGGGAGAATCTGTTGTTTTTTAAATATTTTAATTAAGGCTTTAGTTAAGTTGAGGAGACACCAAAAGCACACAGAACTTTTAAAAAGTATCTTTATACAGTCACAGTCTGTATACAGCAGCAATCTGCCTCCCCACACTTCTCAGACTGTGCATCTCAGTCCTGTCTGACCGTACTCGGTGTATTCCAGTCACTCCCTCCCATCTGTTCATATTAGGACACAAATACAAGAGTTACTTGCTGCCAATGGAAAATGCATCCATTGCAGCATGGCTGCTTCTCTATCCCTTGGGTGCCTCCTCAACACAAAACTTGCAGAATGCTGTGGCTTTATTGCAGATAGGGAAAGCAAGGAAGGCTTGGTAAGAATGCTACACTTTCAAACATATTTATCAAACTCATGAGATGCAACTTAAACCTTTGAATCTCACACCAAGTAACTTCACAGAGATTTTTTGCATGGTCATGTGCTAATGTCTTTAGGGACAGAAGACAGAGGCACTGCCTCTTATAGCTCTCCTTCTTTACACTGTCTGATCTTAACCATACTATGGTTTGAGTCAGTTGAGAGAATGAAGGGTGCTCTTAACCCATACACTACAAAGCCAGTGGAAGTTGCATTCCTTTCTCCTGCAATGATAGGAACGTCCCATCTGCAACCACAAGAGTAAAAAATATGCTCTGGAGCATGGAAAAGCAAAGCAGAGGGAAACCCTTACTCAGAAGGGAGACATCAGAGACCAATTACATTACAAAGACGCACAGCTGCCCCATCATGTCATCTGAAACATGCCCTGCACCAGGCAATGCTAGAAGGGCTCACAGCCTTTTTTTTTTCCCCATAAATTTATGCCCCTGCTTTCAGCAGCACAGACCCACATACACCATGGCTCAGTGCATAGCAGCTCAAGCCTGCTCCTCCCCAGTGCAGAAACTATTAACGTTGCCTGAGATGTCATATTTCTGATACAGGCAGAGCCATCCACAACAGCAGGTCCTGTTTGCTAAAGCCAAAAGGTACTGAGTGAGCTGAAAAGCTCATGGTTTATTAAGTCATTCAAGGTAAGAAAGGAAGAACAAGAACCACACAGGCAGATTGCAGAGTCAGTACTACCCAGGAATGATCCTGAAGCTGTTTCACACACACACACACACACACACACAAAAAAGAAAGCCAGTAGGGCAAGATACGAGAGCACTAAGAGAAGCAGCAAAGGGGATGAAGACAGCAGCTCAGCAAGTTAGGAGGTCACCTGCTCCAGAGCTCGGTGTTTCCCTGATAACAACCTCCTGCCCCACAGAGGTTTGGCTGGTGGCACAAGGTATGGGGAGCTCATTAGTGCTCTGCCTAGCTCAGCACGCCTGCCCCGGCCCATCTGGTGGGCATGAGCAACAGAGTGTTTCTTATTCCTAGACTATGACTGCAATTTTGTTCTCAAGTTTTTGGGTTTGGTAAAAATGCTCAAATAAATGTAACCCCCACATTTCTGGGTTGCATATCCACGCGCATCACAAAACTTGGCCAACTGGCTATCTTTTATCAAACTCTACATTCACACTCACTCTACCCTCTCAAATAATGCACTGTTCTTAATAATATACCTCCTCTTACCCACCTTCCTCCCTTTTCATGTTTTTCAAGGATTTAGCTATTTGAAAATTCACATACTACACATTTCTTGAGACTCACCCCTCCTGAAAGGGCAGTTTCCTGGGTTTTACGTTTTTGACAGATAGGCCTGTTCACTTTCTACCTCCATCCCAACCTCACTGCTGTCAGCACAGCCATGAAGATAAGGAGTTGGTGTTAGAAAAGAAACTCACATTCTGCATTTGTATATTTAGAGGACTAAAATATTTGGTGGTTCTCAAGAAGGTCAGTAAAGCATGGAACACAATACCACAAAAATGACAATACTATTTTAATCTACAAGAGTATTGGTTTAGTACACAGAAAATATCATGAGATCAAAGTCTCATAAACAAGCAAACTGTAAACTGTTTTGGCTTTTTCCAAGCCAACTCAGAAAAATTCTTTCGCTGAGTTTTAAGTCTCATTTGTAGGTCAGGAGGAACAGACAAAAGCCCAGTTTTGCTCAGAATATAGTGAAAAATGGGGCTACTTAGTACTGAACTCTGATGCCCTCCTCTTGCAAGTCGACCCACACAGATGCAAACGCTGCTTACAGCCCCAGGGAAATTAATTCAGTTTCCAGTATCACGATCCAAACTTTTCAGCTTTTTACTCAGATAGGATGAGACCACATTTTGGCCCATAATGCTCTGAAATCTGTGTTTCGTAAGCTGACACCTTTTCTAGGCAACTTAATGAACTGTTTACACTATTTTGAAGATCACCAATGAGAGGTGTTAACCAACCTGAAAAAAAGGAACTATCAAACCAATAACAAGTTACCTAAAAGCCAACAGAATAAAAACCTTTTCTGCCTTCCTGCAATTATTAATTGTTCTCAGGTTACTGAAATGAGGCCCAGCTGGAGCGTTATGTTTACACAGCACAGAGATGAAAACAAAGAAAAATAAAATCCAGTATCCTGAATATTTTTTTCTCTTAAAAACATGGATATAATTGCTCATTAAAGTGAGAATCTTGAACCTTGATTCATTAAAATGCTAATGTACACATTCAACTTCAAACACGATGTGAAGGCCTATGAATTTCATCAAGTATTCAAAAGTTAAGAACGTGCCCACAGGACTTGCTGAGCAGG